GTGAACTGGCCAGGGCATGACACATGGGCTATTAAAAATCCAGCATGTGGAAGGAAATCGTCAAGCCACGTGGACATATAAAAATACAACACATGGACGAACAGCATCGTGACGCGTGGTCAAATAAGAAACGGACACATGGACCAATAATAATACGACACATGGTCCAATGAAGAAGTGACACATGATCCAACGGTAACACGACACGTGTGCCAGTAGAAAACTGACATGTGGAACAACAGGGAACTGACACGTAGTCCAATAAGAACCTAAAACGTGCAAGAACCAGAGATGGCCACGTTGTGCAATAAGAAGGTGACACGTATTCAAACCATCTCCAATGCAACCAGCTATAGCAAGTATACGTGGAAAGCATCTCCAACGGAAGCATCCACAAGTGTGACAGCTCCCCTGCCATGCATGTCAAAATAGTTCTATGACATTTTATTTTTCATCATAGATCAAGCCACTTCTATGATGATTTGCGAAAACCATCATAAAAATTCAAGTGTGATGCGACTTTTGTGACAAACCGTTTTTCGTCATAAATTCGTCATAGAACTAAAATTATGATGAATTTGGCTCCTTTAGTGACAAAAGTTATTCGTCATAGAAGTGGATATTTCTAGTAGTGGTGGACGCTGTGGAATTCGCTATCAACTCCGTGGACACGCTCCACCTCCAGCGCCGCCATGATCCCCGGGCTGACCTCCCTCTCCCTGGTCCCAGGCCGCATCACAGGGACGCTCTCCCCCGCTGTCACCTCCCTCCCGGCGCTCCGCTTCCTGGCCCTCACCGGGAACCTCCTCTCCGGCGACCTCCCCGTGGCCTTCACGCCTGCGCTTCGCACCGTCGACCTCAGCAAGAACGGTTTTACCGAGCTGATCCCGCCGTCGCTGCTCCAGCTTCAGGACCTGCGCACGCTCGTCCTCTCCCACAACGCCCTAGCCGGCGAGATCCCGCGGAGCGTCCCCGCTGCTCCACCCCGACGTCCAAGAAGAAGAGGGTGAGCACTTCACCGCAACCGAGAGGTAAGCGTGACCGCTCGAGCGAGCCAGGCCGCCAAGAAACGAAAGGGGATCTCGTTTCCCCGGAGCCATGAGAGAGAATGGATTTTGCACGAATTCGCCCCGGCCCGGTGGACCCAGGACATCAAACAAAGAGAGTTGTAGCTAGAGGGTGCAGCTGGGCCGTCACGCCAAGGTATCAAACAGTCCCCAAATGCCTCCTAGCCTGCTGTTCAGTTAATCTCACATGAAATACGGGCCTCGAGCCCTAGCTGTTGCTTCTTTACCGGTGTGTGTCAAAGTTATTTGTAATTTAATGACTAACACATTTCTTTTTTTCTAAAAAGAACACATTTCTTTTGTATAAGTCAAACACTACTTCAGCAGTACTTCTCAGCGAACGAATCGTGTTTTTTCTCTCACAATATTTTAGCATAAGCATTAACATAAGTCAAATTTCAATGAAACGAACAGGGGCATCGACCACTCTTACAATTATGAAGGTAAACTAACACAGCTAACTGTTTCATCTTAATCTCTCGTTTTATTTGATCTGCTTGTTTGATTTCCTCCATGGGCTATTTGCATCTCCCCACTGAGTTTAGTTTCCTATTTCCTTTTGCATGGTTGCATCTGAAGATGAAGCGGACATGATCCAGGAGCTGACAGAGTAACCAACACATGGTTTTCTGCAACAAGAAGTACATGACTTCGAGGTAAACAAATCCGGAAATTGTACTGCATATATAGTTTTGTCCATGGGCATTTTGGTGAACACACGCTACTACGCCAGCAGAGCACCATGTTTGATTCATCCGTCACTCTTGCGATTGGTCGGTAATTCTTTTTTTTTCCGAAGGAAAGGAGGATTTATATTAAATTTTAGCATAGTATATCCCCAAATTACACATGTAAAAATCGGAAATAAAAAATACATAATATTCTATCCAGATTCTTACATCGTCTTCTTTCCAATAGCTTCCCTCGAACGCTGGAAGCAAAGTGCAGTTCTTGTGCTGAATTCAACGACCAACCCTAAAACATTGGACATTCCGCATGATCCAACGCTTCGAAACTAGTTCAAAACACATCTAAATCGTTGAAAGAATATCGGTATTTGTATCGTCAAGTACGACATAGGCTGTAGAATCATACCTGGAGACCTTCAACTCCTCTCCATGACCATCGACGATAAGATCGATGATCCGAAGTCGCTATCCTCGTAGGAGCTCTCAGAAGCACCCCTTTCCTTACAGATAAAGGCCACAAATTGGCTGTCTGCCGATGAAATCGATGCCTGCAACAGCGATCTCGTCGTGACAATCGCCTAAGTCATAGCAGGAAACACGATAACGACTGGAAAATCATCTGATTTCGTCAGAAGATTTATTGGACCAAACTCTAATCAATTAGATAGAAAAACTACAGGAAAAAAAGATAAGTCTCCTCCCCTTCTTGTCTCCTGCAGACGCACCATAGAGGAAAAAAGGAGAGAGACCGTGGATGTGGAGGTGCAGGAGCGAGGAGCGGTGGCGGCGGCTCTGTAGGAGGCGTACGAACAACTTGTGCGTAATTAGAATATTGGTCGGCAATTCTGATGAGGAGCTGAACCAGCTCCAGTGCCCGCGAGAGCATAGCCATGTGATCGGCTCGGGTGATCTCGTTGACCTCGACGCCGGGGCTCTGCGCCACCATGCGGCGTTGGAACTCCGCCGGGATGCCGTGGTCTTCCTCCACCACGACGAACACGCGCCGCGCCGACCCGTACCCCTCCTCCGTGAGCAGCTTCTCTTCCCTCATCACCACCTCATCTGGGTTGCCTGTGGTGAATGCGTTCGCCGGCTTGATCAGCATCAGACATTCAGACCCAGAGTCAAGTCCTACAAGCAAAGAGAGTTTTTTTCCCCTTTTATTTATGGTTAAGAAAAGGTAAAACAGCAGCAGCAAGGTTACAAATGGAGATTATGTCCATTATTATGTCTTTTAATTAAGGTGCTCATATTATTTGTTCCAAACAGCAACGTTAATTAAGTGTTACCTCCGGTGGGCTCAGTTGGTAAAGCCTTTGAGCCACAAAGTTGGGCCCAAAGATAAATGGCTTTCCCTTATTAGCCACAAGAACGTGCAGCTGCATAGGCCAAAATCACGTCTGTTCATGTACATACAGACATAAACAAATCCGGAAATTGTACTGCATATATAGTTATCTCCATGGGCATTTTGGTGAACACACGCCACTATGCCAGCAAAGCACCATGTTTGATTCATCCGTCACCCTTGCGATTGGTCGGCAGTTCTGATGAGGAGCTGAACCAGCTCCAGTGGCTGCGAGAGCATAGCCATGTGGTCGGCTCCGGTGATCTCGCTGACCTCGACGCCGGGGCTCGGGCGCTGGAACTCCGCCGGGATGCCGCGGTCTTCCTCCACCACGATGAACACGCGCCTCGCCGATCCGTACCCCTCCTCCGTGAGCAGCTTCTCGTCCCTCATCACCACCTCATCTGGGTTGCCTGTGGTGAATGCGTTCGCCGGCTTGATAAGCATCAGACCCAGAGTCAAGTCCTACAAGCAAAGAGAAGTTTTTTTTTTCCTTTTGTTTATGGTTCCAAGAAAAGGTAAAACAGCAGCAGCAAGGTTACAGATGGAGATTATGCCCATTATTATGTCTTTTATTAATTAAGTTGCTCACATAGTATGTTCCAAACAGCAGCAAAGTTAATTAGGTTGTTACCTCCGATGGACTCAGTTGGTAAAGTCTTTGGGCCATAAAGTTCGGCCCAAAGATAAATGGCTTCCTTGATCTCGGGATTCTCTTGTTGGAGCTCCTTTGAGTCCAGGAAGAAGTCCGGCCCAACAAATGCTAATAACTGAGAACAGTGTGAAAGCATAAGAGCATCTCCAACAATGCTACCTAAATCAGACTACATACTTCTCTATTTGGGTAGCCACCTATTTTGATACTATCTATATTTTACTCTCGTTTCCAGCAATACTACCTAAAACAGGCTACCCAAATCCATCTTAGCAGAGTATGACATGTAGGACCCACATGTTATCTTCTTCTCTAGCTCGCTACAGAGGAACTCGCCCATCGGTAGTTGACAGAGGGAACGAGGGTGCGCCGCTGTGGGGAACGAGCAGCCGGACGGGGAGGGAAAGGAGGAGGCGCCGCTGCCGCTGGGAAGAAGCGCCGCCAGGCGGCGAGGAATAGCGATGCTGCTGCTGGGGAAGACGCAGCGGAGGAGAATTCGCCGCGCTGGGAGACGCGCCCGACTCTAGTCGAGGCGGCAAGATCCGCTCGCGCTGGGAGCCACGGCGGAGGAGCCCACGCTGGGAGTAGCGGCGGTGAGATCCACCGTGTCCTCGCAGGAGAAGGCGCTGCATCCTCACGGGAGAAGGCCGCCGCGTCAGGGAGTTCAGGCCACGGAGGAGGAGAGCCGGCGGTGACGAAGACTGCACGGAGGAGGAAGAACATGCACGCGTGTGCGAACAGAAATTTGGGTAGTCTGGTTTGGCCCAACAGGAATGGACAGTGGGAGGGGAGATTTGGGTAGCCAACAAATTTGTGGGGCGTAGTAGGTAGTGTGTTGGAGTTGGTTTTTTTGGCTCTCACCAACTAAATTGGGGATAGGTAGTGTTGCTAGAGATGCTCTAATCAAATAGCGGTAGCTATCACCATATACACACTACACTTATAGACTTAATTAATACTCCTTTCATTCTAAATTATAAGTCATTCCAAGAATTTTGAAAGAGACAAAGGATCTTAAGTTTGACCAAAATTATAGAGAAAAATTATAAAGATTTATAACATCAAATAGATATACTATAAAAATATAATTAATAAAAAAACTAATAATATTTAATTGGTATCATAAATACTATTATCTTATCATATAAATTTAGCCAAACTTAAAAAAAAAATTAACTCTTTAATATTCTTAAAATAATTTATAATTTAGGATACCATTGATTCATTGAACGTTCGCGTACCTCGTCACTGGTGGCAGCCATAGGACGTCCGACGGCCGGCATGGACGCGGTCACGAACACCGCCGCAGCGACCTTGTCCGGGAACCTCTCCACGGCGAGCGCGACGCTGTACCCACCGTGGCTGTGCGCGACGAGCACGACCTGCTCCCCGGCCGGCAGCGCGGCCATCGCGTCGAGCAACGGCCGCGAGTACTCCTCGAAAGTGCGCACATCGTCGAGACGCGCTGGGTGCGCGCCGCAGCCGGCCATGTCGAGCGCCGTGGCGCGGTGGCCGGCGCACCGCAGCGCCGTGGCCGCCTTGTACCAGCACCACGCGCCGTGGCACATCCCGTGCACCAGCATGAAGTGGTGGCGCCGCTGCTTATTGGTCTCCGAGGCGGCCATTGGCGTGCGGGGTCCTTGGCTTGCACCTTGCAGTTGCAGCGCCCAGATGTAATGAAATATTGCTTGTTCCGATCGAGGACTAGATACGCTGACACTGACAGCGACCAGGATTCGGTTTGTATGCCAGATTGCCAGTCGTTTTCACGTGATTCGTGTGCTAAGCTATGCATTGGTTGAGCGGTGCGGTTGCATATTCAAGCTAAATCCATCTCTCTTATAAAACTAATCACCCCTACATGTTCTATCTTTACACGCAAGACATCCACATCATCTTTCAATACTAATTATGTCATACCACTAATGTTCAACCTCTTAATGCAAGTTATCCACGTCATCTCAAGTTCTACATCAACATGTAAGACATCCACATCATTTTCCACTAATAGTCATATCATACCAATAACTTCTAAACTCTCAATGCAAGCTATATATCCACGTTATCTCAAGTTCTATCGCAACATGCAAAACATCTACATCATCTTTCACTAATAAACATCACGTACAACTAACTTTTAATCTCTTAATAAAAACTATCATGTCATCTCTATTTAATTTTATTTTTATTTTTTCCTAATCTCCGCAGCAAGGTGCGGAGCATGTTCTAGTATAATCAAACGAGCTAGACCCTCTGCTGCCGAGCATCCATCTACTCTCTTTTATACACTTCCTATGACTTGTTCAGTTAATCTCACGCGAAATACGGATCTCTAGCCCTCGCTGTTGCTTCTGGATTTTTTGTTTTTAATTCTTTTTATCAATAATTTAATAATAATTGTTTCTAAAAAAGTTTTGTGGATCTGATGACTCTTTTGAAAGCGCCAGTGCCACTGGCGTGACCAAATAACATTGTCGCGTCACATGCATTGGCGTGACATCTGCCACATTAGACAGTGTTTTCGATGTAAAAAACCTTGTCATGCCACTCCCACGGCGTGACAGTATTGTTCTGTCACGCCACCGGAAATGCCGTGACAAGACTGAGCATTTAAAAAATCATAACTCTTTGATACGACATCGGATGAAGATGATTTATATGAAAATTGTAGCCTTCGATAAGATCTATAATTTTCTAATTTTGAGTTTTTTCATTTAAGGACGTTAAGATGCTTAAAAATAATATAAAATTTTAGGACCATAATAATCGCGTACTACTGCTTGCCATATTAGAAAAATAATATCTTTTCCGTACGTTGTCAAATGAAGATACCTTTTATACCACAGTTGTAGCTCGTAATGAGATCTACAACTTTATAGTTTTCTGTTTTTACATTTGTGGTCGATAAGATACACGAAAAAATAAATAAAATTTCAGCTGCATAATAATCGCATACTAGCGTTTATCGTGTTAGAAATATCATTTTTGTAAAGTGTCAAATGAAGATACATTTTATATCAAAATTGTAGCCCTTAATGAGATCTACAAGTTTCATTTAAAAGTATTTTTATGCCACATCGAATAAGAAATATATGATTTTCTTAAAGAGATAAGCTCTCGTACACAATTAATATGCTCTTAAATTTTATATTACTTTTTTTTATCTTAACTATCTCAAATGAAAGACCTCAAAACTAAAAAGTTATTGATATCGTAGTCAGCTATAACTTTAATATAAAAAAGTATCTTCATTTGACAACAAACATGAAAAAGCATAATTTTAGTAAGGCAACAAAGACCTAGTGCATAATTATTATGCTGCTGAAATTTTATATTATTTTTCGTGTAGTATAACGACCTCAAATGTGAAAATAAAAACTTATAAAGTTGTAAATCTCATTGAGAGCTACAACTGTGATATAAAAAGTATCTTCATTTGACAAAATACAGAAAAATATTATTTTTTAATGCGACAAGCATTAATACGTGATTATTATGGTCCTAAAATTTATATTATTTTCTTTGAGCATATTAACGTTCTTAAATGAAAAACTCAAAACTAGAAAGTTGTAAATCTCATCGAAAGCTACATTGTTCATATAAATTTTATCTTCATCCGACGTCGTATCAAAGAGTTATGATTTTCCAAAGGTTCAGTCTTGTCACGCCACTTTCGGTGACGTGATAGAACAATATTGTCATGCCAGCGGGAGTGACATGACAAGATTTTCCACGTCAGAAACGCCGCCTAATGTTGCCACGCCAATGCATGTGGTGCAACAATGTTATTTGATCACGCGCGTAGCACTGGCGCGACTAAAAAGGTTAGATCCACAAAAAATTGTTAGAAACGATTATTATTAAAATATTAAATAGAAAAGAATTAAAAATAAAAAATGCCTACCGGTGCGTGTCAAAGTTACTTGTAATTTAGTGACTAATACATCGCTTTTTTCTTTTGTATTTATTTAAGTGAATATTATAATACATATTTGAGATCTTAAACAAATTAAAATGAAAAAATTTAAGTTTGAAAGATTTAGATCCACTAAAAGTTTGGTTTAAATCTTTTTTTATATGATGTCATTTGAATAATTCAAAAAAATGAATTTTAAAATCATTAATCTTAAAATAACATTTTTGGCCCTAAATGATTTTAAATAAAAAAAGTTGAACTACAAAGTTGCATATCCCTTTGAATACTATAACTTTGGTTTAGGTCATTAATCCATCTGAGCTACTTCCAAAAATTGAAAAAAATGAATTTAAAAATCTAAAATTTCAAAACAAAATTTTTAGGCACTAAATGATTTTAAATGAAAAAATAGTCAACTATAAAGTTGCATATCCCTTCAAGTATTAAATTCAAAATTATGAAAAATTTATACAAAATTTTGGGGACTTAAATCATCTCACATGGAAAAGCAGTCAACTGTAAAGTTATAGATCCTTTGAGTACTACAAGTTCGATATAAAGTTTGTCTTTATACAACTTGATTTGAAAAAGTTATAAATTTTAATGTACTGCACCTTTTTTTTCTAGGTTGGCCAAATAGCCAACTGCCTCTTGAAATGCCTCATGTTTAGAGGCAGTTGGAAAGTCTAGTGACCTCTAAAAATGCTTGGCGTGCTAACTACCTCAAAATCTATTATAGAGGCGGGAATGCTAAAAAGTTAGTGGCATATTTTTGCTAGAGACGCCTCTAAAAATGGATTATGTAGCAGTGAGAAGACAACACAAACGGTGACGCGGCCTCAGAGCTTGTTTTCGCCAGTGTCCTCAAGGCTAGCTGGCTAGGAGAAGCACGACCCACGACTGTCGCCTTCGCTCGTCAATAAGTTCCATGACACCACCACCTTCCACACACTATCAGACCTTGGTGTTGTTGCTGATAGTTAACCATGATGGACTTCTTTTATTAACTATCTATGTGTTTGGTTTTGGGACAATATGGCTTGGGTTGGGTCCAATCCAATTTTTTGGATTGGGTTGAACCGATCTCGTGTTTGGTTAAGAGGTTGGTTTAAACCCATTTTTTGTTTGGTTGAAAGGGTGGAGAAAGATGAAATGGATGGCACTTCACACCATTAACAATAACTATTAGTGGGGTCCGCCTATCATCCACTTTTTTTTCTTTTTTTCCGATGTTATCTTCTTCCTCAGGACTTCTCAACCAAAGCCGAGCATGCGTCTTCGCTCCCCCCATCTAGTTGAGCATGCGCCGACGCTCGCCGCCATGGTCTGGATCTCGTCCCGCGCCACCATGGCCGTGGCCCAGAGCTCGTGCCGCGTCGCCATGGCCGGAGGGCCGAGCTCACTCTGTGCATTTGGCCGTCGCGCTGCCCTGGTCTAGTGAACAGTGCCCTAGGCAGCCTCGCGCACGGCCGACCACCACAGTCCCGAGCTCGCCCGTACTCATCGCCATCTCCTCGAGCGCTCGTGCTTGCCGCCACCTCCCCGAGTGCCCGCGCCGGCCTATCGCCCTTGCGAGACGGAGTAGAACAACGTCCATGTGGGTCGAGCTCGTCCCATCGAATCGAGGGGACCATTCCAACCCGTATCTGATGGTATATTTCCTCCTAGGTCCGACCCAAACCCATGAGGCTCCTCAACCAAACGCATCTCCATCTGGGTTGAACCCGGGATATCCGAGTCCAACCCTGTAGGATCTACTAGAAGATAAAGAAGGCCTAGAGGGGGGGTGAATAGGCCTATAAAAATTCAACTCGAAACTCTGTTAGAACAGAGGGCGGCACTGCCAGCCTTACAGGGCGGCACTGCCGCTCTACGAAGAATAATCTAACATAGTTGAGATTTAACAGAGATGAACCTAACCCCACTAGCTGCTTAATCCAGCAATATAGAGTCAAGATCTAGTTCGAAGACTGGATACCACAGAAACTTCATACAAAAGTGAATCGAGCAACTAAACCCTAACAACAGCTAGCATTAATGTAAATAGCAAGTATAATGAAGAGGAAGCACGCGAGACACAAGATTTATCCCGTGGTTCAGCTCACCACTAAGGTTTGCCTAAGTCCATATTGTTGAGGAAGCTACAAAAGGCTTGAGCTTGCCACAAAGGCTTGCTTTACCCTCGTTCTCAAATCAAGAGAGTGAACTCTTGAAGTGAGGGGTGATTTCTTAGCTTTCAAATAAGGTTACAAACCTCCCAAAGCTGCCACACGAGTTGACAAGCACAAGGGCGACGCCTAGCCGGCTAGGAGCAAGCTCTAAGAGTAACAAACCCTAGAACCGCCGACCAAACGTGAACCAAAAGCTCTTAGACTTTAGGAATCAGTGGATCTCCTCTCCAATCGAGTTTTGCTGTCTTTTCTCTCAAGTTTTGATGGTTGGAATCAAAGATTAGCTTACGGGATCAAGGACCAATAATGGAGGAGAGGGGTGAGCTTTGGTTCTATCTGTTTTCAAGCAGAGTGAGTCAGTGGAGAAGATGACCGTTGTGGCCCGGGCCTGAAGGGTATAAATACCCCCCGAGCCCAACGGTCAGTTAAGGGCGGCACTGCCGCTCTTAACAGGGCGGCGCTGTCGCCCTAGCCAAAATAGGTAATATGATATGAAATTTGGCTAGTTGTTTTGACTAGGTGAAAGGATGTAAATCTA